CGCGTTGGGGGCCGACGCGCCCGGCTCGCGCGCGAAACCGGCGAAACTTTCGGCTGAGGTGGGGCTCGACGCGGTGGAGCTGTGCTGCCAGGTGGTGGACCTCGAGCGCCTTGATTCGCGCCCGTTGTGTCCAGGGACGGTTGGCTCTAGTATTTGCCCGAAAAATGCGAGGTTCCCAGCCATGGGCTTAGGTTTTTTGTAGTTTTAGGTTTTAAGGGTTTAGTGGGGGGGTTCCATGTACCCCAGTAAAAGTGAAACTCTTAGCAACAGATGTGGGAAATTGAGAGGAGAGTCACTCCTGGAGTTTTTATTGGTTCCATTTTCCCCATGAAGAACTCTGTCGATGCCTGGTTTCTTGGTGTAGGACTGGGTTTTTGCAGGGTGGGAGCGCCCGCTACCTACAAAACTCAGTAACTGAATCCCACCGCAAACAGGTCTTTTGACCTTTCCCTGTCCAAAAGCATCGTCCAAGTCACAAAAGAAACGTGGCGCTGGAAATATTCCCGGGTCCTTTGGCCCAGGGGCGCCCAGCGCACTTCGCCCGAGGAGTCGGCTGGCGGGCTACGTGGTGGAGCTCCGGAACTGCAGCGGCGCCACGGGCGCCGCCTTCGCCCGGGTCTACTACGCCCGGGCGGCGGAGCAGCAGAAGGCGCGGCAATTCTGCCGGCGGCGGCCGGCGGCCGGCGGTTTGGGTGGTTTGGGGGTTTTGAGGGGGCGGTGGCCGGGGGAGGGAGGGCCAGGGGCACCCCCCAATTTCAGGTGCCCACATGGTCATAGGCTCATAGGGTTGAATATCACTTGGTACATCTGCCTAAAATCAGGCGGAATAGCTCCGTGCCCCTCGAATACCGCCCTCAAAATTGCTTTTGTGTTCACGAAAATGATGCGTTCATGGATCTGTCTTTTTCAAAAGCAAACGGTTTTGGGAGCTGCCAGTGTGACGACAAAAAGGCACCCTCAAAAAATACGCCTCACATGAGGAAGCTGTTGGTGGGGTGGATTTGCACGGAAGCCTTACCAACCTTCTAGCCCCTTTTGCAGGGCCCGTTTTCTAGGGAGACAGAAGGAACAACAAAGCACCCACACCCAAAAAACACAACCTGTCTTCCCCCATGGAAAAAACAATCGCTTTGCTCACATCGCAAAACCAAAGAAAATCACCTTTTACCCACACTGAAAGAACATACCTTTCGCCAACATCACACCCATGAAACATCACCTGTTTTTCCATCCCTGTTCCGGGAGTAGTTACCCGCAGGTGGATGCCGTGGAGTTCCTTGTGCCGCGCCTCCGGAGTAGCGGCCAAGCCATTTGGCGCCAAGGCGCTTTGGAGTCGAAGCCTCGTCGAGTCGATGAGCCCTTGGGAGAGGATCTGGGCTTTCCGAAAAGTCGGCGATGGGTGGCGTTTGTCCAAAACACCTCCGGTTCAACTAGTTGTCTCAACTTTTTGGGGAGGGGGTCCCTTTGAAATAGTGGGGTGCGCCCACCCAAACTGAATCTGCAAGGCGGCGATTCTTTACCATCCCTTCTGTCCTGGGGCATGTTCGCACTGGGTGCTACATATGGCTGCGAGTCAATTTATAAGGTCCGGAACAGGGTCCGGAACCCACATGCGATCCAGACCTCCGTTCCAGACCTCCGTTCCAGAACATGATCCAGACCTTCCGTTCCAGACCTTGTTTATATATTTATGACTAGTTTAGAGTATTGATTCAGACGGTCAGGTGATTTGGTAGGTTATTGACTCCCCCCTTGTTTTGCCAAATACTACGCGTTAAGGCTGGTGTTCGAGAGAAGCCTGAGGTGCTAACGATGGGTTTTGCTTGTCCAGCTTTGGGGGTTTGGGCTGCGTGGCTTGTAATCATTGGGACTAGGATGGAATTGGGCAGCGGTCCTGTTGACAGATGTGTTTTTGGAACGGCCTGTCAATGTTAAGGGTCAACCCCGCCGCAATCTGTTCGATACGATACGGTAACGGTTCGATATCTCTCGGTCGTCACATTGTTGAAACGACCGTGTTTTACATGCTGCTTGCCAGCATTCCCAAGTGCAAGCCGCTAGCGTAACCGTTCCAGACCCGGTTCCAGACCCGTTCCAGACGTGTTCCAGACGCAGCGGAGCAATTTGCCACCAAGTCCACATGCGCACACACACACACATGCCCCATGTAAGTAGCTGCGCTTCTTACGCGGCCCGCCATGCCGCCAAAGAAGCCTTCAAGGAGGTGCCGTATCGTAAGGCCGCGCGCCCCTGGTCGCTTCATCCATCCATCTACCCATCCATCCATTCATCCATCCATCTATGAATGAACGCGTGCTTGAGGACTCCACACATGTCTTCCCAGAGGTCCGGAACAACCAACCTTACGTAACTGACTCGTTCCAGACGTCCGCGTCACCGCGGCACGTTCCACGCCACCCTGCCGCGCCCGTTTCCCTGTGCCGTTTGCAAGACTTACTTTCCCAAAGCAAATCGACGTTTTGACCTTTGAGTTTCCCCGTTTTAATGTATTTTTAATCGTGGCCTCAAAAGGTCAGCCTGTTTTTGCTGAGTCCTTTGGGCAATCAGGGTTTCAATCCACCAATTAAAAGGCTGCTGAGTGTTGAAATGTCCGTGTCCAAGAGGTAGCAACAGGCGTCTTGGAGAGGTTTGGTCGGAACCGCAAGCTTCCCGAACCACAGATGCCGGTTTCTTGCTCTCTATGTGGCCTCTGGGCCAAGCATGGCCAAGCTGAAATGCGGCCTTCCCAGCAATTCCAGTGATCAGTTTAGTAGGTAGACAAGCACGTGGTCACATGCTACAGCAACAGGAAGTGCTTGGTTTCTAGCGGATAGTTGAAAGGAAGCCAAGGAGCTGGGGGTATCCAAATTTGCGTAAGATGGAGCCTGAAGCTACAAGGAGTGCTGTAAGAGCACTCCAGTGTTGTTTGGGCATTGCGTTTGTTCCACTTGCATTGGGTCTCCCCTAAGGAGCAGAATAGATGTGAACCCAGGATCTTAACCTGTGTTTCTGTTTGCCCATGGGCCAAGTTAGCGATGCAGGCGGCGAGTATCAGTTTCGCATCCGTGGCTGCTGCGAGCGGATGCTGTCGCATGATCCCCACGCGGTCCGACAGGCGAGTTCCGACTCATCAGGGGTCTGTCTCAAAATAGCAACAGTGGTGCCAGTTTTTTTTTTGGGGGGGGTTTCCCTTTACAATCGACTAGCCAGGGGTGCGTGTTTGGATGATCTTGGAAGGGAAGCCAAAACGAAGCATGTCTCAAAATAGAAAGCTCACTCCCTGAGTTTCTGGACGTGACACTTTCTCGGAACAAGGTTCGTGACCCCCGCACCCCCGGCTTGTTCACTTCAAAGGGAAGCCCCTCCAAAGCCCCTCCAAAAAAACAGGGCACCAGTTCTTCTCACTTCCTGAGTGGATGGACCCAAACAAGTCTAAACTTTGTATTTACCACTAAAATTGTCTTTGGATGGTCTTGAAGGGAAGCCAAAAGGAAACCAATCACCAGGAGGACTTAGGACCTATCTTTTGAGAAGCACCCTATATTCTAGCCTGTCCCCTTTTTGTATGGGTTCGGCGAGGCAATGCCAGTGCTTCCCCAGCAAGTCCAAAGGACAAGTTAAACGAGCACGTTTGATAAAAAGTGCTGTCTTCACTGGGAGCCCTGGCATGAGTAAACGAAGAGTTTCTCTTCACGCTGTTTTCATGAGGTTTTCAGGGTCTTTCACGGGTTTCTCACGCACCTTTCACAGTGTTGAAATCCAGCCTCTTGACAAAGTGCTGGTTAAACTCGGTTAAACGGGCACTTTGCGAAAGTGCCAGTTAAACGAGCACCTGGAAGTGCTGGGTTCGGCTACAGCAAATCGTTGCAGTTGCAGCTGGGTAAGTTTAGACCGGCGAAGCCAACACATCGCTCGCTACTTTCTCTAAAACAAACCGCACGGGTTTTCCCGTTCACACCCAGCTTAGATGTCAGCCAGGGTTTGTCGGTTTGTTGGCGTTGCACTTTGTTGAAGATCTGTGCCGTTGCTTCGCTTCTGAACGCAAAGCGAATTGCTTCTCCGACCCGGGCCCTGTTTTGATCTCTTGGGATCCTGTCAAGCATGTCGAGGGGCGAAACACTGGGATGAAGCCGCCAGCCAGCCTGAACAAACGTTCTCTCTCCCCCCATGGCTGGACTCCCTGGACGCACATCTTTTTAGCCAAGTCGTTCATTCCCCCCCCTTGTTGCCCTTGTTGCGTTCTTGGTTCCACACTGAAGATGTTCAGCCCCAAAGAGATGTGGCTCCCTCACCAACGCCGGGCGACTGGCCGCGGCGCTCAGGTCTTCTCTGATTGGTCGGCGCCCGCACGTCTCACGGCCAAAGTGGGCCGGGCCCGGGTCTTGCGGCCTAGGTCCGCAGGGAGCCTTCGGAGGAGTTGACGCTCGCCCGTTGGGCATCCCGAAGCCAAAGCCGTTCGCACCAGCCCTGTGTTCTTTTGACACCAAATGCGGCGAATGCTCACTCCCTGAGATTCTGGACTTTATGCTTTTTGGGAAGACTTGGAAGAGAGTTTAGTGGTGAAAAAAGGAAAGGTGTGGACTTTTTTGGTCAACCCACTCAGGAAGTGAGTAAGTAAGCATTTATTCTTTCTGACAGCAGTCAACCAATGGCGAAGCAACACATGGTTGTCAACTCCAGTGGCTCTCATCGTCTCACCGCGCGCTCGATATCAACTTCCGCGCGGCTTTTCCTCGTGTCGCGTTTCACCTCGCCCGCGCGCCAGGGTGTGACGAGACCCGAGACCCAGCCAATGTACTATACTCGGGGGCCAACAGCCAGTGGATCCTCTGGCAAAATGCGGCTCTTCAAAGAGCCGAACATCACCTGTCCCTTCACAGGTGCCAGGTGGGGAGGATGCTCACATTGGCGTTTTGCTTGAGGAGAGTGCATGGGACCCCAAAACCAGAATCAACAAAAAGAGCCCTCACACCCCAAGCCAAAGGCTCGCCGCACCCGAGGCGGGCTGCGGCTCTGCAGTTGGAGCGCCTTGCCCACGGGCAGCGGCCTCGGCAGCAGCTCCATCCTCGCAGCCGCGGCCATGAAGGCCACCCTGGCGGGGACCCCCGGCGGGCGCCATGATCGCCACGGGCGCCGCGGCGCCGCGGAAGTCGAGAACTGGCCGCGGGCGGGAAGTCGAGAACCCCGTGCTTCCATCCACACATTGAGCGGCTTCCTTTTGGCGCAAGCTCATTTGAACCTGGGACCATCCAACACTTCACACACACACACATGTCAATGTGTGTGCGTGTGGAAGAAGCATAGACCATGATGAGGTGCGTGTAGGTGTCTAATGGATAATCTAAGGGGTGGCACTCATAGCAGATGAATGTATTAGCCGCCGAACCCCAAAGTAAGCTACTCAATGGCAAAGGTATGGCTATAGAAAATGCATGAAGGTGCGTGAATCATGGCAATTTGCCAATCAGCTTCCTACTGCCTGGGTCGGCCCCAAGGCAGCTTTCGACTTGCACATGGACGACGAGTCCTTGATTCATGCCACTGGAACTATGGTTGGCTGGGTGCAGGGTTCTGCTTGTGTTTTGCCGACTGCGTCCTCTCAAACTGCGCGGTATCCAAGAGGCAACCGTCCTGCTGTTTGTTGTTCCATTAACCAACTAATATGTGCTGTATGGCCCTTTGCCTGGCACTGGTCAACTGCATGTCTGAAGCTACAAGCAATCAACATGTTCCTCTCAGGTTTGGGTGTTCATACAAGTGTAAGCCTGGTCAAGTAGTCTGGTAGTCGGGGTGAGTGTCGGCACCATGCTGAGTTCCGTGTGAACAGCAATTGAGGGATGTTCCGCACACGCAAGCACTGCTTCGTTCCTCAAAAGGGAATGGGGTTAATCTCCCCCAACCAGGACGTTGATACTGTACGGCAACGTAGCCGGACAGTCCCACAGTCACATTCAATGCCTGAAATATGTTACATGCTTTCCCAGCCCCATGTTAGAAAGACAAGGCGTCCTTCCTTCCTTTCAGAGGCTTTTGGATAATTTTCGATCCAATCAAATCGCACAAGGGTCATTCGCCGGTGTGATGCTGAGTTTTTCATTGGAAGAAAGGCACTCTTCAATTGGTCCAAGAAACCAACTGTTCCTTGCCATCCTGTTTGTGGCAGGTGAAACATGATTCGGCCACTGTTGTTGCACCGTTGCACCAGAGTCCTTCTTCGGCCCCCATCCAACTGTCAACGCTGATTTGGCCCACCGGGGTGGTGTTCTGCCCATGCTGGGTTCTAGTTCGCAGTGTTTGGCAAGTGCTTGTGTGTGTGTGTGTGTGTGTGTGTGTGTGTGTTTGTTTTTGTGTTTGTGCTTTCGGCAAGTTGGAGTTGCACATAGGGTGCTGGCAACCTCACTTCTCTGTTCTTGTTGTGTTCTTTATATGTTTTATAGCACTTGTTTGGCTAGCCTCATTCTTCTTGGTAGGGGGCAGCCCAAAGAGTTCACACCAACCAGAGGTTGGGAACACGAGGGCTGGGAAGGCACACGCCATGTTTTTGTTTTCACTGCGCAGCGCCCCAAGACGAGGCGGTGCAAAACGTGGAGCAGATGCTGACCACCGGGGGCGGTTGGCAGGACCAGGCCGCCCATGGGCGCTGCTGGTCTACCTATGGAATGATTTGGGCTGAGACCCCAGGTGCCCACCTGATGGAATTCACCAGGGGGTCCATTTTGAGGCAAGATGTGTTTTTTGGTTCCATGCGGACAGGAGGGCAAATCGACCTCCAGAAGCCGAAGGAAAGCTTGAAACCAGCCATTTTGGGCATCCCCCCATTTTAAGACACACCGAACTCGAAATCCCGGTCCCCAAGCGATTCGGCGATCTCGGTAGGTGGGGGCCATCCTGGGTGGAGCAAAGATCGCACGGAGCGGCCCGCTGCCGCTGCGGGTGCTGGCGGCGACTCGGTTGCTTGAGGCTCTCGGTCCGGCCGTGAAAATGAAGGTACTAGTATTGTTGGGGCCTCGATTAGGGGGAGTCACCCCGGTGACCCCTGGAACTCCGTTTACGGTTCCACTTTTCAGGCCCTGGTTTTCCCTCCTATAGTATGAACTGGACACGATTTTCTATTTCTCACCCCGTGAGTTCATGGGCTTAGTTTTGGGGGGAAAGCCATTTTTGTGGCATTCAATCAGCTTGGACTCGTTTTGCCAGTCTGCTTCGGAAGCGAGGTTTTTAGTGTACACTAAATATGACACATCCTCGGAAAATGTGCCAAGGTTGAATGGGCCGAAACGGGTTTTGCACCCAGGTGACAGTAGATGGCACACTTCCCTTACATGTGGACGAGTTACGAAACCAAAATCTGGGAATCGTGCCATCTTTTACCCAACTGTGAGAAATGGTTGTGGGATGCACATGTCCTTAAATGCAAACCGGAACCCTTGTACAAAAGAACCCGTCCAGACTGGGTACATCGGATGCCTGACTTGGCCTGCATCCCCAGCAAGTAGTGGGGCTGTGCAAATTTTACGGAACCGCCATGGGTTTGGGATTCAGGCATATGGGGTACAGAACTGTAAAAGTCCAAGTGGGGGCAGCTCTCAGGATCTTCAAAACTGATTTAGTTTGGCCTCGACCATGGCGGGCTTCGCAGCGAGTACCGACCAGTTGAGATCACTATTTGCCCAGGATTTAGTTTCGGCCGAAGCCAACTTGTTATCCTTTCGGTTTCCCCGATTTGGTCCATTTTTAGTCATGGTTCCAAAAGGCGAACATTTGATTTCTGGGTCTGTGGGCCACTCAGCTAACATGCCTTTGTTTTTCCTGTGGGCCCTGTTTTTCGTGCTTGCAGAAGTCTAGTATTAAGTCAAGCCCACAGCCCGTTTCTTTGGCCAAGTGGCTCGATCAGGGAAGCGGGGAAATCCCACCCAGCGGTGCCCGTGTTTCCTTTGCATTTGATGGGGAAAACTCCCTTTAACAACCGCCAGCACAAAGAGTGCCCTGTTTGCCACTGCGGGTCTTGGACCTCGGTTCGGGCAAACATCTTCGGTCAGCTTGCAGCTTGATGAAGGTGATGTTTCTGTTTTCGCAGCCCCCTGCAATTTGGAGGTTGCCACCAGGCCAAAGTGCATGAGCCGACTACAAACCAAGTCCTGAGAGGCTCAGGAAGTTCCGCTTGAGCAAAGGCCTGTGGACCAGAAGCCTATGAGTACTGGCCGGGCCAGGCTGACTTACGGTTAGGCGAATTTGCACATGTATTTCTCTGGGCAAATGAGATTGTTAGAGGCCTCAAAAGGTGATCACCAGGTGATTTGGGCAAGTGAGTAGATAGATCCGGAAAAATCCAGGTTAAGGCTGAGGTGTGATTGGCTTCCCACCGCCCCTCCCCTTTTGGTTACCCATCTTAGGAAGACGCAAATAGACCAAAAACAGAGGTGTGTTTGGGGAGTGGTGTGTGCGGGGTTACGCGGTTTTATGATGTCCCTTGGCCTTTTTGGCCCTGCCGTCCATTTGCAGCCAATCCTAGCAAGCTCGACTACGTCCCCCTCCGATGCCAAACTCACCACTCCCCATACGCACATCCTTTGTTGGTCTGCCTACTCTTTTGTCAGGCTGGATCTTTGCCGCACGCCATTTCTACTGTTTATCTGAAATTAAGCCGCTTGATGATCATGTCATTCCGAAGGTGTCCTCTCCTGAAGATTGACATCGTATCCCTCAACACCCTCATTTTAGAGGCACCTCCTTTGCGGCCCCCCCCTTTTGGCGTTCCTTCCGCAAAGTCCGGTGCTTTAAACAGCTTTTGTTGTAATTATGTGTTTCGAGCGTTGTAACGTAAAGAATAAACAAGCAAAAATACAAAGACAGACAACAACTCGTGTTGCGTGTTGCTATTTTTGTTCCTTGTCAGCAGGGAGTAGAACGCCCAACAAATCGATCAGGAGCCGCTGCCACTGAGCCGTGACTTTGCGGAGGCCTTGGAGCAGAGGTTGGTGCTGGTCTTCACCGGTGGCTCGACCGCCAGATCTCCGGTTTTTGGACAAAAAGGGGAGGGGAGGGCCAGGGGGGGGGGGGGAAGCAGCGCACCTTTGGTTGATTTTAAAAAGAAACCAGGGCCATAAAACGGAGAAGTGCACTTTTGGCGATGATGTTGAATTATTTTGTTCAGGGGGATTGGACCCCTTGTCGTTTCTACTGTCGAATGGATGGGTATGGTATGGTACGGGTTCTTCCTTTAAGGGGAAGCAACACAACATGAGCAGCGATCAAAAATGCTCAAAGCAATTTAAGTAAGGGAGCGCTGAAATCAATCCGCGCGGAAGGTTTTCTGCAGGCCGCGGAAGCTTGCGGAAGGGCCGGCGGACTTGACTAAGAGATTTGCGCCGCGGAAGGGCGCGGAAGGGGAACAGTTTTGGAGCGTCAAAAGCGTGTAGAAATATTTTGCTCTCAAGCGATTTGTTTGGGCCCAACAGTTGTTTTCGCTCCCGGGCAAAAAAACAATTTGTTCGGGCATCGTTTCCGCACCCCGGGCTTGCAAGTGGCCTCACAATCTGTTTTGGCCGTCACCCGCAAGAGGCTTTGCGGCGGGAGGATTCGAGCCCCAAGATTTTCCGCTTTGGGGGATGGCTCCGCGTGTTTTCCCGAGTCACCACGCAGGCCTCATGGAAACGACTGGCTGGGCCGAAATTTTCTTTTGAATCGAAGCGAAGCAGCCAGGGCCAAAAAACGATTTGTTCGGGCCCAACAAATCGTTTTTGCTCCCGGGGCTCAAAAAACGATTTGTTCGGGCCCAGCAAATCGCTTTTGCTCCCGGGGCTGAAAAACGATTTGGTCGGGCCCAACAAATCGCTTTTGCTCCCGGGGCTGAAAAACGATTTGTTCGGGCTAAACAAATCGTTTTTGCCCCCGGGGCTGAAAAACGATTTGTTCGGGCCCAACAAATCGTTTTTGCTCCCGGGGCTGAAAAACGATTTGTTCGGACCCAACAAATCGTTTTTGCTCCCGGGGCTGAAAAACGATTTGTTCGGACCCAACAAATCGTTTTTGCTCCCGGGGCTGAAAAACGATTTGTTCGGGCTAAACAAATCGTTTTTGCTCCCGGGGCTTAAAAACGATTTGTTCGGGCCCAACAAATCGTTTTCGCTCCCGGGGCTGAAAAACGATTTGTTCGGGCCCAACAAATCGCTTTTGCTCCCGGGGCTTAAAAACGATTTGGTCGGGCCCAACAAATCGTTTTTGCTCCCGGGGCTGAAAAACGATTTGTTCGGGCCCAACAAATCGTTTTTGTTCCCGGGGCTGAAAAACGATGTGTTCGGGCCTTACAAATCGCTTTTGCTCCCGGGGCTGAAAAACGATTTGTTCGGACCCAACAAATCGTTTTTGCTCTCGGGGCTGAAAAACGATTTGTTCGGGCTAAACAAATCGTTTTCGCTCCCGGGGCTTAAAAACGATTTGTTCGGGCTAAACAAATCGTTTTCGCCCCCGGGGCTTAAAAACGATTTGTTCGGGCTAAACAAATCGCTTTTGCTCCCGGGGCTTAAAAGCGATTTGTTCGGGCTAAACAAATCGTTTTTGAACCCCGGGCCTTACATGCGTGGAGATTGATGTTGGGCTGAATTCGCGGAACACTGGAGGAAGGGCGCGGAAGGACCGCGGAAGGGTTCCGTGATTTGGATGACTTGTGTGCGATGTGTTGTTCTCGTTGGCCCTGTGCGGGAATCGTAGCCGCGGTGTGTCGTGAGGCTTCACGTTTGCGTTGCAAATCTATTGGGATTCGCGTTTCAGGGCTCGTCGTGACCCATAAACCATTTGCTACAGCCGTCTACTGCTCGTAACAGAAACTGGATGGCTCCACGTTGCACAAGGATGTCTCAAGCACAGGCTCGCAATCTCTTCAGGGCTTCCCCAGCATGGCTGTTTCACTTACCTGTTTCTAGCGTCCAAGCCTTTAGTATCACCAGCTATGCCGCCAAATCCAAAGCCATGGGCCGATCTGGCCTCATCTTCCGTGGATCTAGTTGTGTTGGCTTGGCAAGAGAGACGCAAGCCGCGGAAGGCGCGGAAGGGAAATGAGAGCGCGGAAGCAAACGCCCGCAGCGCGGAAGCGCGCGGAAGCACGCGGAAGCGCCAAATGATATCAGCGCAGTTTGGCCTATTGATTTTGATCACCGCTCACATGAACATCACCAGGATTCACCAGGTATGGGTTCCGTGGGCTGCGAGCCGCATGCACTCACGGGATCATGGCATTTTAGTCTTGGCGAAACCGGAGCAATGGCAAAGGACCAGTCCGGGCTGGCATCATTTCCGGGCTCCGCTGAATGCCTTGTGGGTAGGCAAGTCTTTGCCGCCAAGTCAATACGTCGCTGTTCGGCGAGCAGCCCTGCTGCTCAGAAAAAGGCCCATGTGTCTTGCTGGACGGCGGGTGACATAGCTCGCTTGTTTGCCCTGCCGTTGTTTTGCTTGCGGGAGGTACCCCTGTCTTGCTGGTGTGGGGATTTGAACCAGTTGCTTCGAATCCCAACGGGGAAGGCCCTCCCAAGGTCCAAACCAAACCACCAACTAGGGGTAAGGTATATGGCAAGGTGACCATTGGTGTTGTCAAACAGGGAGGGCGGCCCCAAGGTCCCTATCACGCTTTGGCCATTTGCTTGGACTGGATCGTTGGTATTTATCAATTTATTGTTGTATATGGTTGTGGCGTTTACATTCACATATATATATATATTTATACATGTATGTGTTTCTCTATATGTGTAAATAGGTGTGCATATGTATTCGCCTGATTGCTCTTTGGTTACAATTTATGAGTATGATAGAATGTCGCAATGATCGATGCCAACCTACACATAATTAGTGACATCACCGTGGGCCGTCAACCTTACTGTAAGATGCATTCTCCGCGTGTCGCTGGTTCATCCCCAACAGGATAACTCGGAATTCCCGACGTACGTTTTTCAGCATCCCTCTGCCCGGAGACCCATGTTCAATTTGCCTTACCTGATGACTGTATTCAGCTCGTAGCTAGCTGCAGCTTCCCAAAGCCTCAGCTTGTGCTTTCCGGCCCACGGGGATTTTGTTTTTTAATATTCGGACCATCACGGCTTGACCACCTAGGTGCTGGGTGCTCCTTCCTGTCCTGGCTGCTGATTTTGTTCATGTTGCACAAAGTCAATCACGGCCCTTTGCGGGATATCCCTGTCACAATTTCTATGTACCACCTGTAAGCCCAGGCAAGTTGCCTGTGAGTCCGTGAAGTTGAACCGAGCGAAATTGCAGGGCTTTCCTTTTGCCACCTTTTGCGCTTTGTGCCAATCCACCAGCTCTCACCTTTCACTTTTAACCCTTGGTGCATCTGGCTCCACAAGGTGATCACCTGGTATTTCTGGGTCCGAAACTGGGCAGCTGAGCTTGCTCATGTTCAGTAGCTCCAGCCCCTACCGTCGTCTTCGGACGCACCTTTGGTGGAGTTTTGTCCGAGGCCGGCCGCGGCTGGCCAAGCATCTGCTGCAGAACGTGATCCGACAATGGTTCAGCCGAGCCCCGGAAATCTGCCAGACTGTACGGAGCCTCGCACCTCGGTGCGTTTTGATGTCGAAGATGGTTGCCATCCCCAAATCACCGGGCAAAATGGGGCATACGACGACTGTATATACACAAAGGGTCCATATATTTTTTATGTTTTTTTTCTGGGGGTAGTGGTTTGGGGGGAGGAAACCCTCTGAGACGATGGGAATGGTGAGAGATGGTGGATAAAATGTGGGTGTTCCAAGAAGAGAGCCGAAAAGAGAGGTTTTGGGCTGACACAGGAGACAGCCCAATGACTCCAAGTTGAATAAAGGGTTGAAGAGTCAAGGGTTCCCATTTGAGTGTGTCTTGAAATGCGGGGCCCAAGCAAGTTGCTGGTTTCCTTTTGGCTTTGCTTCAAAACCTGTCGAAAAGCGGTACCCTGTACTCTCCAAGACGACGAGCCATGTGTCTTGGCGACTTTTGGCGTCTTTTCGCGGGGTAAGCCTTGAGGTGAGCAACGCCGAGCAGTGTGCTGACGCCTTGAAGGCGGGCGACCTGCAGAAGTTGGGCGCGTGTTTGTGCCTTGGGTGCATAGGTCTCCGTTTTGGTCGAACAAATCGACGGATTCCTGGTTGACCTGGTGGGTTCAAAATATGCCACCCTCTAATGTCGACCCCGGATTGATCAACCCTTGTCTATATGGGGGTGTTCCCCTCCAAAAGTGATGAATCCACAAAACCCAGCACCCTCCTATTAATAAACAGGGTTTATTAATCCGGGGTCAACATTAGTTTGCCAAAAGGACACCTGTGTTGAAACAGGCTTGTTAAAATGGTCTGCTTCCGTTGCTTGGCGCTAACCAGGTGGACTTTTGCATGCAAACCCTGATTGACCATCCTCCCAGGTGATTCAGGCAGGTTCCCCTGCAAGAAAGAAACTGAACAGCTGCTTCTCTTATGAAAAGCTGACAAGAGGTCGGGTGGGGTCATCAGACGGACACACTAGTTCAATGGATACAAAAGCTTAGACTTTTGCTGGCCAATCCAGTCAGGAAGTGATTGTTTCTGTGGACCCCTCTTTTTGTTGTGGGCCAAGCAATTCGGATGGGAATCACCCGCTTGCATACGGACTTCCACAAGACATCGCAGAAAGAGCCTTCCCCAAAGCCATGGTTGGACTGATCAGGCCTCCCCTTATATATTTATGATGCTTTTGCTCCAGGCGGCACCCTACGCAAAGTGAGTGAGCGGGAGGGGGGGGGGGAGCACTCACCTGAAAATTAGCATGGCCCTCAAAATGCAAATTCTTCAGCTGGGCCCCCCAAAGTGAACATTTTGAGACTTCATCCATCTAGACATTTTGTACCATGTCAATTTGTTCATCAAACGATTCGTTTGTTTAGTTCCATGTCACTGGGATGTGAAGTTTACCTCGACATTACCGTGGCTTCAGGTCCGAGTACTGGGCCCAGAAGCGGGTCATGGCACCGGGCTGCGAGCCCAAGATGGTGCGCCCTCTGCGCGACCTGCCCGGCCTGCTAGGCTCCGCGAGCCGACTTCGCACAGAAAAAGGTTCATTTGCTTTCAGGATATGAGTTATTTCCCCTTGCTGGATTTTACGAGCATCTGCGTGCTTTGTTTCAGGGGACTTAAGCAAATGGAAGGAATCCACTTGTTCAGAAGGCTTGCCTTTCTAACTTTTGCAGTCGAAGTCCCGGGAAGCACACTGAAACCCAGTTGACAAGTCGATGGGTTCCCGAGAATGACTGACAGTTTTGCTGGGTTGAAATATCACCTTTTGGGCCAGAAAGGACAACTGTGTGAACTGTACCACCGTGTGGTAGTAAAGCGACCCAGCTTTGAATCTTGGCAACTCAATGGATTTATCTCAAAATGAGGGACCCTCACTGTTTGGTGGTTTCCTGTTGGTTGTCCTTCAGAACCAGGCAGCAAGTGGTTCCCCAAAACACCCAACTGGTCCACAGGGGATCCCGAAGGAACCTTAATTGGTTTTCGCCGGCAAGCAAATCCTAGTAAATTTCCTGAGGGTGTCTTTTTTTCGGGACCCCCAACATTTTGGGCTACCCTCAAAAAGACAAGCCACCCAAATGATCCTGTCGCTCACTTGCCCAAAGCGAATCGATGGGATCTGACCTAATTTTAGTTGTCATGTTTGGGCAACCATTTGACTGAATTTGAACGATGGTCACTTCTTACTTCTAGGTTTTTGGGCAACGATGGTCACCTCTTATGTCTAGGTTTTTGGGCAACATGAGTGTTGGGTATGCCAACTGATTGTTAATGTTCACCCTGCAGGAATAACCACGCCCTATAAACAAGGGCTGTTCCCCTGCAAAATCCCTACCAGTGGCGAGCCCCCCAGTCAAAATCAACCAGGCGTTTCTTAGTGTGGGGTCAGCATTTGTTTTTTTTCGCCTTTGGCTTTTTGGCTTCTTGGCTTTCGGCTTCTTGGCTTCTTGGCTTTTCGGCTTCTCGGCTTCTTGGCTTTTCGGGTTTATGCGGCTTTTGGTGGCTTTTTGGCTTTGGCTTTTTGCATCATCTGCATTCCCAGTTCCTCTTCGGCAGGTTGCGTTTTGGCTTTTGCGGCTTTTCGCTGGTTTATGCGGCTTTTGGCGGCTTTGGCTTTTCGCATCCTCTGCTTTCCCAGTTCCTCTCCGGGCATTTTTGCTTTTGCACCCTTTCATAGGTTTTTGGATTTGGCTTCCCGCATCATCAGCATCACCTCCCCCCCCCCAACTTGCAGAGTACTTGCACCCCTATTAGAATCAGCACTTCTTCAAACATCATGGGGGGGGGGCTGCCGCCTCCCCCCGCAACCCCCGCCGCTTCTTGTTAGATTTCTTGCAGAGATTTAATTGCACCCCTATGTGAATCATCATTTTCGAGCATCGAATTTTGCGAGAAAATGCTGACAAATACGACATTTTAGGTAATTTATGATTATGTAATCCATGTATGTCTGTATGTATGCACATCTTGGAACATCATAGGGGAAGCCAACCCCGCCAACCCTCCCGCTGCCTCTTAAATTCTATCGCACCCTTTCTTGAAGCATCGCACCCCTACTTGAATCATCACTTCTTCGAACATCATGGGGGGGGCTGCCGCCCCCTCCCAACCCCCCCGCTACGTTTTAGATTTTCCATAAGATTGAATTGCACTTTGAATCATCACTTCTTGGAGGGGCCGCCGCCCCCGCCAACCCCCCCGCTACTTTTTAGACTTTTTGAAAACATACTTGCACCCCTATTCGAATCATCACCTCTGCGAACATCATGGGGGGGGGGGGGGCAGCCCCCCCCCCCCGCTACTTGTTTTTTGAAAAACAGGGATTGACCTTTGATTTTTTGTTTTACCCCGCCACGATTTGTTGGTGAAGCTAGGGATGTTGGTCGGACATGCGGGGGATGCTGAGAACGATGCTGGGGATGTTGACGGGCTAGTGTAAAATGTGTCAATTTCTCGAGAAAATGCTTGTAAAGTACGACATTTTACTGGCCCGGACGAAAAAGGGGGGGGGGGCAAAGAAAAAAAACATTTTAAAAAAAACACACACACACACACAAAAAAACAACAGCAATCCCAGAATAAATCCGCACCCTTATCCTTTTCCGCTGGGTTCAACGGGACCTTTTGTTAGAGTAGTTTGACACATACCCACGCTACCCACAGTGGTCCATTCTACAATCAAACAGGGGTTCTACTTAGTTCTGGGGTGGCCATTTCTCCGCGGGCTTCAAAGATTTGGGGGGCCAGGCTTTTCTTTGTGCGGCGCCGGCGGCGGCGGCTTTGCCACGCTTCTCTTTGCCGAAGGGAACCAGCTGCAGGCGGCTCGACTGCGTTGGGCGAACGCCCCAGATGAATTTGTCAAGTGACCGGACCTGGTCTAGACCGAACATGTTTCACGAATCTAGATACTCCGGCTAAAGTTCACTGGGAGCATTATTTGGGAGGGTCCCTTTCAAGAAGAATCGCAAGCCAACCGATTGGATGAGCCGCGATTTTGTCAGCTTCGCATATAATTAATAAGGAGGACTGCTAACCAGAACCATCAACCGGAGCTTTTGTTGAGATCCACAATCAAAGCCCGGTAGTTGAAGGTTTTTGAAGGCCAGCGGGGGGCAGTCTCTTTGGATAATTGACATTTTGTTTTCTTGCTAGTCTCACGTGAGGTGCAGGTTCATCAGGTTCCGATTACGACTCATGTGTACACCAAAAAGAAAGCCAGCGCCGTATTCTTAGCGGGTAGTAAGTCAAGATGATTTGCTCTTCAGACATCACATGGCATCACCACATGGCTGCAATGATGCATCTGAACTTGGCGACAAACAAAGAACTGTAGGACTGTAGGGCCCCTGCAGTCGCACAGGGCCGCCCAAAAGTTGTCTCGCACGGGTGGACGTGTTGGGTGCCATATGAGCGTCTGTCAAAACTTCTGGAAGACCAATATGTAAAGGGCTGGACATGACACAAAAGCATGCAAAGCGATAGGGTTACCGAAAAAATGATAACCCAACTAAACATGGTTTTGCATACGGGGCCCCTTATGTAAGGAAATGAGCAGCTGAGTGTATTTCCTTTACTACACTTGAACTGCAAGGTCGCGACTTTCGAGCCGGAGCTGCCAAAGTGTACTTCCTTTACTACGCTTGTACTGAAAAGTTGCGACTTCCGAGCCGGAGCTGCCAAAGTGTACTTCCTTCACTATACTTGTATTGAAAAGTTGCGACTTTCGAGCCGGAGCTGCCAAAGAGCACTTTCTTTACTACACTTGTACTGAAAAGTTGCGACTCTTCAAGCCGGAGCTGCCAAAGCGTACTTCCTTTCCTATACTTGTACTGAAAAGTTGCGACTTCCGAGCCGGAGCTGCCAAAGCGTACTTCCTTTACTGCACTTGTGCCGGAAAGATGCGTGTGTCGAGCCGTAGTTGCAAAAGTGCACTTTCTTTTACTACACTTCTGCTGAGAAGTTTCGACTTTCAAGTCGGAGCTGCCAAGGCGTACTTCCTTTACTACACTTGTACTGAAAATGACGACTTTCGAGCCGGAGCTGCGACTTTCGAGCCGGCTGCCAAAGTGTACTTCCTTTACTACACTTGTACTGAAAAGTTGCCACTTTCGAGCCGGAGCTGCCAAAGTGCAATTTCTTTACTACACTTTTACTGAAAAGTTGTGACTTGGAACCGGAGCTGCCAAAGCGCACTTTCTGCACACTTGTATTGAAAAGTTGCGAGTGTCGAGCCGTAGTTGCCAAGTGCACTTTCTTTACTACACTTGTGCGGAAAGTTTCCGACTTTCGAGCTGGAGCTGCCAAAGTGTACTTCGTTTACTGCACTTGTACTTAAAAGTTGCGACTTTCGAGCCGGAGCTGCCAAGGCGTACCTCCTTTACTACACTTGTACTGAAAAGTTGCGACTTTCGAGCCGGAGCTGCCAAAGTGCACTTTCTTTACGACACTTGTACTGAAAAGGTGCGACGTTCGAGCCGGAGCTGCCAAAGCGCATTTTGTTGACTACACTTGTGCTGAAAAGTTGTGCCTTTTAAGCTGGCAAAGTGTACTTCGGTTTCACGTGAAACGGTCAAACGCACAAAACCCAGTAAATCAATAGGGTTACAAAAAACGATACCTTCTACCCGATGTCCTTTGGCTATACAAGAGGTTTCGCCAGTTGCTCATATATATTTGAGTTGCAAGAAGGATGATTGCAGTTCTTTTTATTTGTTTTCGCCTTCTTATGTTTGCAGTGTTAGATGTTTGTTGTCCTGCAATACCCTTGAGCTATCCTTTCAATTCAATCGACCCGTGCAGGGGCAGTCTAAAGGTCCTCGGAGAAGTCAAGTTGAGCTCGATGCTTTGGAGTTTGAGCTGTGGCTCAATCCAGCAGATCCAGAATTAGCTACTGTGGCCGCCATTACTTCGGATCGATGCTTTTTTCAGATTGAGATGTCAGAGCTACTCCATCCCAGACACTCAGGGGTAAAACGAGCGAACACGCTCGTAGGTCCTTCAATGTAAACCTCGGATTGACGGAGGACCGTACTGATCAGGGGTCTACTTTTGCGGGTCCTGTGGCTAAAATCTTCGTTGCGACCCGAAGTGAACATTGGGGATCCCTGGGACGTCCCCCTGTCCAGACTCCAGGCAGTGCGTACGGCGCTGAAGGAGATGCCCGGCCTTGAGGACCGAGCGGCCCGAACCCCAGTGATATCCTTTTTAACTTAGCTTGAATAGAAATAAATGGGGTTCCACTGGTTTTGACGAGTTTTATACACCATTTACCAGGGCCATCGATTTGTCCAAAAGGTCACCGAAGCTGCCAAAGCTCATGCATTTGTTTGCGGCTTGTTGCAGGTCTCTTTCCATGGAAAGGGGGAGTGTCTAACAGATGTAGCCAACTGGTGAACCTTGTTTTGTGTCCAGATTATGTTTTTTCCACGCAAACAAGGCCGGGTAATTTTACCCTAAAACAAACGCTTTGATGCTCCCAGCATCTCCAAGCTGGGGGTCGTTTTCTGTGGCTTCCTTGACATGGCTGGGCTAATCGGCTAGCACGAACATGGCTGGTCTTTGGTGCGACCTTTGCCCATTAGACCTATTGAAAACAAGTGGCTTTTTCATTCAACCTACAAGAGGTTAGAGCTTTTGCTCAGGGGCAAGACGATTTGAGAGTACCGCCAGACGCAAACACACTGCAAACCCAAAGGCAGGACCAGCCTAGCAAGCCAAATGCATTAACAACGACATTGAAATGTAAGCTATCTGTGTGGAAGGAAGCCTAGAATCAGATTGAACCCCGATACCTCAGACAAGTTAAGCAACGGGCCAGGGAGTCTGAATGCTGGGACCCCTTGAAGCCAGATTCGTCGGAATATCAATTTGGCACTTCATTTAATGGCTTACCGGCTACCTCACATTCTAACCATTCAGGCCCTTATATTTTATGGCTCTTTTGTGCTGTTGCTTTGGGCAACGTTGCGTGACTAATTCTGGCCTTGCTCAGGCGCACGGCGCACCATCAATCAAGTTACCCTCACAAAAGGTGTCGGCTCCGATGCCAGTTCCCTCCAAACCATGCTTAAATGTAGGTCTTAGGTTTCAATGTAAACTTTCAGGAGGCTTCGCAACAGAGCATCCGTTCACAGGACGCTTATGCCTGCGCAGCGTCCATCGACCATCAGGGCATGGAGTTGAGGTGAAAAAGGGCGCGCTGTTTGCATGCTTGGGCTTTGGGTACGTGTCAAAATCGGGGGACCAGTTCCTGTGGGTTTCCCCTAAAGCCAACCATAAACGCGGAACCGCAAAAACACCCTATCACAAACCCGTCTCCACGGATGGCTTTCTTTGTCGCTGAGAATGCCCTTTCTGCCATGTTTGACGAGTTTCACATTTGCAACACCCCAGCAAAACCTCGGGGACGAACCTGGTTTGGATTGGATGCTCGCTTGCCTTTGACGAGCCCCCCCCCCTGCTAAGCCTATTGCGTTCATCCAGCCATTGGCCCTGTCCGTGGTCAGAACAAACGAGGGAGATGCTGAGGGTTTCATTTTCGGGCGCAAAGTGTGACTTTGCAATGAAGATCCCCACCCCCTTCCAAATTGAATTTAGAAAGAGGAAGCTATCAAGAACTAATGGGAACCCCGGATCAATCAACTCCAGTGTATTCACAGAGGGTGCCACCGGGTTTAGCGGGGAACCATCACCTTTGGAGGGAGCACATCCCCTATCCAGAAACCGGGGTTTATTAATCTGCGACGGGTTTGCATTAGGGACTATCAGTGACTCTCAATGATTTTCATGGTTCAGCGTGAAAGCATCTTTGTGGTTTAGACGTCCCCTCTTCTTGCCCGAGGGAATTGTATACTCCAATGTGCTATTATTACTTTGGGGGTGTTGGCCCCAAAACCGAAACCCCCACCAAGAACACACACCCCGTTGACATACTAAGTATGTCAAACCAAGCCCGGATTTTGGACCTTTGGCTCATTTCCCAAGAATAAGATATCGAAAGAACAGGGTGAGAGAGATAAGAACTCGACAGAAGAGCTGCTTCACCCATTTGGCTTCGCAAATCCAGTTGACTGGATCTTGGCTCATGCCCATGCAGGCCCTGGACTCCATGTTCGAGACAACTTCCCTGCTGCCGGACCAGGCACGCATCAGCCGTGGTGAGAGATGCTCACCCGGTTTGGTTTTCAACTCTTGGTTGTTCATCTAGATTCCATCAAGCCTCATGGGGCGGTCCCAGGAGTCAAGCCTTCACTGCCACAGCTCAGTGCAACTTTCTGCATTCCTCGGAAAGACAGGGTTCGCCGCAAACACAAACAGACTGACCTCTTTTGGACCAGTGAGTTATTGTTGGCTTGAACCAGCACTCGGCCACCCGAGTCGGGGTTTGGGGTTTCCCTTTGCCTGGAATCATCGAAGCACAGCAAGGATTAGGGAACGTTTTGGGTGCAGGTTTTGCGTGGGACCCCCGCATCCCCTCTACTTACTTCTTTGCCTACCTGATAGATTCGCTGACCAAAGCAAACCAAAAGGGATTTCTACAGGGGCCAAATAATTGATATCACTAGGAATCTAACTGCTTGGATGTCCACCAAGAAGTCGCCTATTGAATTTCGCACCCATATTAACCCCGCCAGATCTACAAACATTACCCACCAGAAACCTGGAAACCTGTATAGAATTTCCTTTTTGGTTGATACCCACGCATTTGAGCAGTGCCAGGGTCCAAACCGGTGCGCAGGCCCTTGCCGATGTGATGGGCGCGCTGGGCCGGAATTTGAGGACACGCCTTTGCAGCGAGGAATCGCCGGATCCTTCCCTACACATTAAAATGGAAGCTCCCAAAGAACCGAAGCAATGTCGATTTGGGGGGTCTTTGTTTGGGTGCGAGAAGCCCAAAGAACCGAATTGATGTTTAGAGGAGTATCCTTTGTGGGGGCCTTTGTTTGACTTCGAAATGCATGTTGCAGCGGAGAACCCTTGTGTTGTTCATTCCCCTTGAAGTGAGAAGGAGCAATCATTATATAGAGATGTGCAAGAAGTAGGGAAGGTTTTGCTTCCATCCCGTGCATGGGGTTGATGGATTTTCGACCCTTTTGGGTGCCGACCAAGCCACTAGAGTGGCCATTGATGACAGAGCTGGTGTAGCGCGCTGCGCAGGACTACGTCCGACACCGAGGAGGGAGGAATCATCTTGAACCGCATGGCGCCGGTCTCAGAGACCTATCCTTGATCCTGGTTGAGCACTGCCAATTCCATTCATGAGAGAGGTGTTCCCGTGGTGGTGTATCTGGAAAGGGCGCACTAGTCTAACTTGGCCGGCCTGCTGGTTGTATTCAAGCTGAGCTTTTGGAGGCCTTTTTCGCCTGCCAGGTGGGCCTCTTCCGTCAGCTTCCGTTGTGGATAGTACTCCACTGCAGCAAATCATGGGTTCAATTTTTTGGGGGAACCCTTGTTTGGTTACGTGTTGGTTTGTAAGGGAGTAACGTGTTGTACTCCAGGAGGGCCACGCGGGCGAACAACTGCTTTCGGGCCGCGGAGCTTGTTTACATACGGGTCTATGAAGCTGGCACTGGGGCGTCCCCAACACCTCACACTGGCCGCATTGAGCGAGCGGCCAACAGTTTGCAAGCATGATACGCTTGCCTTGATGTGTGCCATGTCGCATCAAAAGTGAACAACTAATGGTAATCCTAGCTTCAGATGTTGACATGGATGGCCAAGTTGCAGGTCCACCCTAAAGTGTTAGACAACATGTATTAAACCTGGCGATTTAAATGCGGTCTTGCCAGGGTTGGGCTTGAGACAGGTGGAAGATGGCACACAATTCTCTTGAGAAGTAAAGGGGTCCCACATGTTGCCATGTTCTTAAATATTAATTTTCCTGCTGGGCACAAAGCACAAGAGCAAGCAAGCAGGCAAGCACCTCTCCCCCCCGCATACCCGAAACCTTGAAAAACAGGCCCTCCAAAGAGTGGATCCCGGAGCTTTGCCTTCGACCCTTCTAAGACAACGTTTGGTATCCGAGACCTTTGAGACCTTTGCCCTTGACGAGCTTAATGATGGCAACAAAGCACGTGTGTGTGTGTGTCTTAAGAGGGGCTCCTGGCGGGTTCCTCTTGGTTTACCTTTAAATGTTACACGACCCTGAAGAAAAGTAGCCTCTAAGGCACACCCATTGTCCCACGTTGAAGCTGCTTGGCTTCTTGCAGCTGAGGTGGACCTATGCAACTTCAACTTGGCGCGGCTTTTTGTAGCAGGAGGGCCCAGAGGAGGTGCCGCCTGTGTCAGACGGAGTCTAAGTCATTTGCCCAGCGGGTTGTTTCCTTTCTTTCGACTTTTTGATTTCCCGTTCAAAAAATGCGCGACCCCTTTTTCCCCTGCGTTCTGCGGAAAGTTGGAGGACCCTTGTTCATGCTCCATGTCAACTTGCAGGGGAATTTCCGAAAGGCCCAAAGTTGTGAGCAGACAGATGTATGCATCTTTCCCCAAGGGTGGGGCTAGGGTTTGTTTAGATGGTTCAATTGAGTGTGTGGTGCTTTAGGATCTTTAGGGGAACCCTTTTGGATTGGGTGATGTTTGTTTCTTTCCATCTCAATCATCCTTTATGGCTGTTGTGCGACTCCTTGGGCCGCAAAACGTAACGGAGGTCCGAACACCAAGGGATTCTATTAATCCGGCTTCGGAGTTTGGGCTTGGAAAGCTTGAATTGAAGGTCTGTGAGTAGCGGCATAATCAAACCCACGCATTTGCGCTGAGGTGTGGGACAGCGTCCTTGCTACCATCACAGAGGCGAGGGCGGGGCTAAATAATTCGTTCTAGATGCCTTCACAATCAACGAAACGAGCAAGTACTGTTCAGCCGAAATTTGGCTTCACCAGCTGCTACCTGCTCCAAGCCCATAAAGTTCCCGGGCCCGAAGTTGGCCTGCAGGGTCGCTTTTGAAGGGTGGCTGGGAGAACTCTTGGCTTTCCCATGGAAGTGAGGCCCTCTTTGTGCACTTGGCTTTCGGTAAATCTTCCATGGTATTTGAGATTCCGCCACAGGCCGACCCAAACAAGTCGTACCCAGGTGGTCAAGCCACCCATTCACAGCACGGCGTCATCCGGTGATGTTTGTGGATGCGGCAGCCCAAGCCCGTTCAGGTCTGCACAGCCGACGAGCGACCCGAGTGACCCGGCGCAAAATCCAGGGGGTGGTCAGGGGTCTTTGGAGGCATCTTTGTCTCTGGGACGTCTGGTATGTCACAAGGGCCTTGTTGTTAGAGGTGTTTGGTACGTACCCCTTTCTTGTCCTCCAACCTTGGGACAAGGACTGTCTTTGTTGAGGTTCCTTCTGTTGATTGCAGGCGGCGTTGAAAAAACAAATAATAATAAACTCCGCCGCCACAAAGCTCATAGCAAAGTACCATACTTGCCGCCACAAAGCTCAGTCCTTCGCAGATCCGGTTTAGCGGTTGCTCAAACTGTAGGGAAGGGTAGGGCAGGCAGGACAGTTACACATCCCCAGTCCGTGAAGGAAATATTCCATCCACATCGGGCAGGTAACTTCCTTGGCAACTGTTTTTGCCTGACGTTTTCCATGGCCTCTATTTGTTTGGATGCCAAACAGCCAACAACAGAAACCATTTTACCAACAGGAAACCAACAGGGTCGAAGGGGAAGGAAATTTCCGCAAGTACCAGCAACATTATCTGGGCCGTGCCTCCAAATGCATCTCCATCTATGAATTCGCCCAATGGGCTTTGGGTTCCCTTCAATTCCCCTTGTTACACCAAGCCCCAAAAGCTCCTCCGGGTACCCCAGCTTCCATTTCTTGCGTCCATTTCTTGCCTGCCTCAGTCGGCTCCAAACACGAGAGCCCAGCCCACGGGAGAGACGAGCCACATCGCAGGCTCCGGGGCCTCGCGGCCTCTGCGCTGTGCCGCATCCTGGGGCAGGCCGCTGATCCGATTTTCACCCCGTGAAGTCAGCCAGCCCCCACAGCCCCCAAGCACTCACCCAAGCATAGGTGTCCTTTTCGGGTTAGTTTGGATAGAAGTTGATGGCACTGGCTTAGATTGCCCGCATTGCATTTATCAGGGCCGTCGATTTTTTTCAAAGGTCACCTATGCCCCCAGGAGTTTTCTTGAGTTGATCTGGGACATGAAATGGCTGGGAATCAATGTTCGATGTCTCTCCATCATGCCCAAAGAAGTCTGAAGTAAGCTTGATTACCCAACTGGCATCTTGCTTTGTCCTTTGTGTGATTTTCAAGCGTTTGTAGAGGGTTCAATTCCGATTTTGCCACGGCCCAACCGGGGGCTCCCATTAATCTCTCTGGAAAAAATGCCCAGGCGCTGCGGAAGGGTGCCCTTGCGATGTCTGAGCGCCCGGAGGCTTCTCTGGGCATCCGAAAAAATGCCGGACCGTGTGGCTTGTAGGAACGAACTCATTTAAGGATCTATGTGGGTTATGTGGGTGGCTCGTTTATTTTGGAGGGTACCTGTTTTTGGGGCTGTTTTAAACGGAAGCCACAAATAAAACCCGCTTTTGTTGTATTTCCTGCTTGTTTGTTTTGTTTTGGTTTGGTTTTGGGCGCCCATGCCTTGGAAAGGTGGTCCATCTCTCCCCCTATTGTTAAATTCCCCTCCGCCTATTGTTGAGTATTCTGTGTTTTGGGGGGGGACAAGTATTGATTAACAGGGCTGGGTTTTATTCATACGGGGAAGCGATTAGTGCATAGCGGGTTCAAACTTTGATCTGTTTCGAGAGATCCGTGATTTCTGTCCCCGGCCCTGTTGCTTGCGTGAAAACTTGAAGCTAGGTCGGACCTAAAGGGTAATGGCTTTGACTCAGCTTTTGCAGTCTTGCGATCTCGTGCGTGCTTTGCTTGCCGCAGGGATGAAACATGGATCTCCATTTTATGTATGGCCCGCGTTGGTATCACAGAAAGGGGGCAGCCATTGTCCTCAACTGGCTTTGATCTTGGATTTTCGATCGGTCACGTTTCCTCAAAATGTTAAACTATTGCTTGTAGGTCCTCGGTGCGTTTCAGTTATGCTTGCTAAAAGTTGGGCCTTCCAGTCCGCCGGACAGCGCAGCCATGGCTCCCTTCCCTTTGTGCTCTATGTTTGGTGGCTGCTCCACTCAAAACGACCCCCCAAAATGGGTGCCCTGTTTTGTTCAGGGGCGCACAGCTGGGACACGTTAAATCCTGGTCACCCGTCAAAGAACAAAGTCAGTGACAAGGCGTTCAGAGGTCCGAAGCGAGGTTTGCTCGCCGGGTTTGGAGTGCAGTCGAGTCAGAGATCCAACAAGTAGCATGGTACGCATTGCTGAGCCTTTTGATATCAGCCTGCGATTTGTTTGCGAGGGGGATGCCTACCTTTCAAAGCAGTTGCCTGGTGGCATCCGTTGTTGTTTTTCATGTTTGTTGCCAGGCTTTGACCAACTATCCCACAGACTAGCTCTGATGTTTGCCGGGCACCCGCCACGATCTGCTTGTCCGAAACAAGTGGAACCTGAAGTGGAGAACCGTAATCTTCCAGGGACGTCCTTCGCCTGGTTCATGTTTTCTCCCTCCTTCTTGAACATGGCCCCTTTTTTTCTATCTTTTCGTGGTTCCTCCTGCTTGGTTTTGAGAGGGCACAGTTGAATCTTGCAAGTGAGCTAAATAGAAGCCAAGGTAAATTGATTCCCTTGTTTCGCTTGTTGATCTACCTCCCGATTTTGCAGGTGGGGCTGCCAAGCCTTTTTTGGAGCACCTGAGGGGGGAGGGGAATACCCCTGCAAATTAGTAACCGGAGAAGGGTATTACGGGCCCTCAAAAAGAGATTTGTCTAAGAACTGTCATATGTCTGGTTCTATGCCAATCTGCAGGATGCCTGAACGAAAACATAAGCCCAAGATTCTGAGGGACATCTTCCCAAGTACGAAGCTTGCTCAGAACTCTGCCACAACCATCATCAACCAGAGGCGAAGAAAAGGATACCCATTTTTCCGACAAACCGTGCCAGCTTTCGGTCCGTCCCCTCCCAAGCGCCCAATGGAAGTGCAGAAGCACTTCAATAAAAACTCACAAGTTTCCCCTGAATTTGTTGTTTTGAGATGTCTTGAGGCAAACCCCATCAGTCCACATGTTTGGGACCTGAGCTCCGAACGAACGAGTTGCTTGCCACTGGCGGGTTTCACCAGGAGGCGCAAGATGAGTTGCTCCGGCACCTCGAGGCGAGCTTTGAAAGCAAGTCCTGTGAAGCTCATAAGCGTGTCCTTTTTTGCATTGTTTTGGCAGAACATAGATGGAAGTCCCGTACACGGACATAGATGTCCCTTGGTGGTTTTGATAGAAACTGGAGGCTTCCTGGTTGTTTTTGGCAGAAAAATAGATGGCGATTCCTGGTTGACCTGGTGATTTTACAATCTACCAGGGCTATCGGATTGTCTAAAATGATGCCTATGGTAAGGTTTGCGTGAACGATTTCATGCCTTTGAGTGTATAGTCCAAGTACCCTTTGAAGGCCTTGCTTTGAACGCATAAACTGAAGCCGAAAGATCGGGTGCTATTGTGGGGTCACATTGTCCCTTTGGCGCCACCCTGCCTTGGAAAATGGGCGGTCCTTGTGTCTTGCAACAGCACCAGTTTCTCACAGCACCCAACCGGCAAATCAGCCTTTTGACCTTTTTTGTTTTTCTTGTCTTGGTTGATGTTTAGTCAAGGTTAAGGTGAACCTTTCATTTCAGGTGCTTTGGGAAAGTGAGATGCGCTCGGTCCTGATACACAGGCCATCCGAATCCACATTCAGATTCTCTTTGCCGTTTTTGTTGTTTTCTCCGGGAAAGGCCCTATGTTGGGAGCCACCCTCCGGGGAGGTTCCGAATGCTGAGGGGAACTGATCTCATAAGGCTTTTGCACCGTTCGGCTGAGGGTGTCGTTCTGAAGACCAGAAGGCCAATTCTCGCGAACTTTAGGCGTCAACGGGAAGAGACTTTCAGGTTGCCCCGGATCTTGGATTGGCGGTACTTGACTCACTTACCCGGGCCTATCTTTTCCTATTTTTTCTTACATGGTCCATGTTTTGTCCTGGCCCCATAATTACTTTCTGGCTAGAAATAGTTTTGAATATCGCGGCTCATTGACCAAGCTGCGCAGGCAAGGGGAGGGATAGTTCAATGGGGAAGGAAGCCAGACAGAAACCGATTATTTGTTGCTTGTGTGCATAGGGCAAGTTGTACAATCGTGCCCCAGCCTTCCTATTCCTGGACAGCCAAGCTCAGCTGGTGGATTGGTGGTTTGGAGGCCAACCACATCCAACCACCAATCCACACCACCAACTAAGGGGACTACAGTAAGGGTTACCAGGCAAGCCCTTGAGGGAGCTTTGGGGGCGAGCGCTAGGAAGGATATCACGCAGAGCTTGTTGATTATCGGGTGCTCTTTGTCGTGAACTGTTTGCGATGTGTGAAACCGTGTCTGGACCACCTCTCAGTTGTCCAAAAACCGACCTTTTGACTTTTGGGTTTCCCTGATTTGTTGTTTGATTTAGCCAAGGTTCCGACATGTCAACCTGTATTTCGGGTCCTTTGGGCAAGTGAGACCTTGTGACCAGTTGTTACAGGGTGTGCCTTGTTTGTATCTGATCTCTGTGTCTCTCTTTCTATGCGTCAGTGGTCTTTCTGTCTTTGTCTGTGTATGTGTGTGTGTTGTATGTTTGTGTGTCTCTGCCTGTGTATATCCGCGTCTCTGTGTCTCTGTGTGTTTGTGTCTGTGCGTGCGTAAGCACATGTGCATGGGTTGCGTGGTTGCGTTTGCGTTTGTCCACGCCGACGTGAAAAGAGAAATTAATATGTGTCTACTTTCCCTTTCAACACCTGCTACCCACCAATCCCATTAAACAAAAAATCACAGACAAGCAGTTGAACTTGTTAGCCACCGCAGGTGCTGCTGCGCAGCCAGCACGATTTTACGCGAGCTCGGATCTGCGAGGCGGGTCCGTTGACGACTGCCTGATTCGCAACGGGGCGTTTGCTCTGAGGGACATGCTGCTCAACCCCACCCCTCAAAGGTGGACAAAGTGGGCAATGCCAAATTTGAGCACACAACCACGCCTGCAAGGGTGCATCATGAGGGAACACCTATTTTAATGTCGGGTAGTGAGCAAAGCCCCCAACAGAGGAAAACCTAACAAACTGGGGGGTAGAGTTGGGCCTGCTCAGGTAATCTTCCAGCAAGTGCTGCTTAGTGGTGTTAGAATTGAGTATTGCTTTGAGCTGGCCCAGCAGTGTTTTAGATTTGGCTTAGTATTGGTTTAGAATGCTTTTGTGCTGGCTCAGTAGTTTTGAGAATTGGCTCACTATTCCTTTGAGCGGGCCCAGTGTTGTTTGGAATGGGTTTTGTATTGGCGTGTTTTTCCCCGGCACTAGTCTAAAGACTTGTGTTTTTGTTTCTAGCCTTAAACATATCATTATTTGGGGCCTTTGTCATTTTTGCTGTCTTAGGATTGGCTTAGATAGGTGTCATTGTTGGTTTAGTATTGTTATTATCTAGAATTGGTTTTAATTGTGGCTACTATTAGTTCAGCGTTGGCTTATCAGACAAGATAGTACTGTGTGCACGTGTTTTTTTTGCCGACCGATTGATTGACCGGTATCCGACATTTATCGCAGCCAATACTACTCTGGGATTGTTGTTGTCAAGTTTCTATTTGATGTACTGCTGCTGGGTCCTCCTCTTGAGATTGATGTGAGTTGTTTGTTTCTGGTTTAGTGTTGGAGCTTCCTTTTGAGGTTTCGATTTTGTTTTTATGTTTCTGAGGGGTTGCCCTGGTCATGCGGATCGGAATTGCTTGCACATTCTTGCTTGGGGAGCGAAGGAGTTTCAAATAGAGTAGTTTTGGGCCTTCCAGATGGCCCAGTCTAATTGCAGGCGGGGGCTGTTTATCCCATGTTAACATGGCGACCTCACTCACGGGCATGATGAAGTTTCCTC